TATTTTATATATATATATATATATATATATATATATATATATATATATATATATATATATATATATATTTATATATTTTTTTTTTTTTTGCATTGAGAATATTATGTGATATTTGTTGGATATATGGTTTAGGCTATGGGACATGTGAACTCTCAGTTCCTCATTCCTTTAAATTGCGCACCATTTCCATCTCATATAGTTAAAGGGATAGTTCACCCAAAAATGAAAATTCTGTCAATAATTACTCATTCCAAACCTGTAAGATATTCGTTCATCTTTGGAACACAAATTAAGATATTTTTGATGAAATCCGAGAGCTCTCTGACCCTCCACAGACAGCAAGGTAACTACCACAGTCAAGGCACAGAAACGTAGTAAGATCATCATTAAAATGGTCCATGTAACATCAGTGGTTCAACCGCAATTTTACAAAGCTACGAGAATACCTTTTGTAGGCAAAGAAATAAAAAATAACGACCTTATTCAACAATTCTTCTCCCCCAAAAATGAAAATTCTGTCAATAATTACTCATTCCAAACCTGTAAGATATTCGTTCATCTTTGGAACACAAATTAAGATATTTTTGATGAAATCCGAGAGCTCTCTGACCCTCCACAGACAGCAAGGTAACTACCACAGTCAAGGCACAGAAACGTAGTAAGATCATCATTAAAATGGTCCATGTAACATCAGTGGTTCAACCGCAATTTTACAAAGCTACGAGAATACCTTTTGTGCGCAAAGAAATAAAAAATAACGACTTTATTCAACAATTCTTCTCCCCCGAGTTAGCATCTACCAGCATGCGTTGTGCTACTCTCGAGAGTAACACAACGCATGCTGGTAGATGGTAACTCGGGGGAGAAGAATTGTTGAATACAATTTTTATTTTTGTTTTCTTGTGCACAAAAAGTATTATCATAGCTTCATAAAATGACAGTTGAACCACTGATGTCACATGGACCATTTTGTCGATGTTCTTGGTACCTTTCTGGGCTTTGAACGTGGTAGTTACCTTACTGTCTGTGGAGGGTCAGAAAGCTCTCGGATTTCATCAAAAATATTTTAATTTATGTTCCGAAGATGAATGAAGGTCTTATGGATTTGGAACGACAAGAGGGTGAGTAATTAATGACAGAATTTTCCTTTTTGGGTGAACTATCCCTTTAATAAACAACAACATTTGTGCAATCTGAACGGTAACTAATCTTATATGAGTCCAGGCTTTTTGTTATTGCACTTTGGCAGCATTAGGGCTAACAGTAGGCCTACTGCAAGTCTTTCATTGATATAACCTGAATGTAGCCTAAATGCTTATTTTTCTCTTGATATAAAGCAACTGTATTTACATTTTTACATTGAAATATTAGTTTCAATATCATTCTGATGGTACAGTGACTTATAATAAGGCGACTGGCCTATTACAAATTTCCGCTAAAAGGGCAGATTGCGTTACGGCAGCAAAACAGCAATCCACTGTCATTACCACAGTGATATATTTACGACAGTAAATTCCACTACTGTAGGGGGATGCAAAGTCGCAAAAATACACATAACTGCATTCAGTTGCTTTAAAGGTATTCTGTGCCATTTATAAAAAGGTATTCGTTCCCATTTTCCTTTCAGTGCATAATGGTTACTGTTTTGTTTTCAATAAACTGACAACTTCCATAAATGTGGACCTTTTTAGTTTTTTATCACGGTTAACAGCTATCAATATGCATAACATGAATTTCACCTAGAGTAGTGCTAGTTGTCACTTTTAGTACAGTTTTTACTGACAGCAAATTTTTCTATAGGCACATGCCTTGAAGTCTTTTTGTACATTTCTCAGCAATGATATGTTAGTTGTTATGTTATGTTAGCTCAGTGTTAATTCTGCCATTAACCCTTAAACGTTGTTCGGGGTCTTTTTGCTGAAATTAAAAAAAAAAAAGTTCCCTTTATCTAAATGGCATGAGACTTTGTACCGTTACCAACGCTTGCTAGCTCTACAAATAAAAAAACTAAATTGGATTGATATCTGGTTTTGTTAGTGTGAAAAAAAAGAGACCCTACATTGAAATGGATGGGGAAATGATCAAATCAGTACTTTTTCTTTTTAATTTGTCACAAAATAACTAAATTCACCACAATGCAGAACACAAAATACACAAAGATGAAGTGGCAACCCTTCCACATGTTCACAATGCAGAATGTTTGAGCTCGCGCACACACCCCCAACACCCCAAAAATCACCCATAGACCTCAATAGGAGACTTTAAAAAATATTGATTTCTGTTACGTAATTTGTCAAGAATGTCAGTGCGGAAAACACACAAAAACTAAAGGGGTGACACCACAGCACATCCAAGATGGAGGAAAAACACCCCCCCAATGCCCACCAAAGCCATAAAACCCACTCATAAGAAATTAAAAAGTGGCATGACACGAGTGGCTCTCTCTTACATAATTGGTCAAAGAAAGATCAGCTACAATGCAGAATACACACAGAAATGATGGAGTGACGATCCACGATGGAGAAGAAATGCAAACACTCAGATACATAACACCACATACAGGTTTGACTGTAATCGTGTCAAAAAATTATACTTCAGTACAAAACCTGCTAAACTTTGACAAAGTGGCAATTTTTTATTATTATAATTGTTAATGTTATTTTAATAAATAAAAAATGATAATAAATATTGTTATAATTACTGCAATTGCAGTTTATTATAATGACTGTGAGTAGCGTGCGGACACCGTCTCCTGTCAGTGTCAAAGCTGTTCTTAAGCAAAGGCGACATCGCTAATTATAGAAGGTCCTAAAGAGAGAGGAAAGATTAGCCATGATTAAAGCTCGTTCACAAACACAGCGATAGGACAGACAGTTGATCAGCAGGTGTAATGAAAGCACAGTAACACTTAAACATTTTCAAATTGGCCTTGATGTTTGGATAGAAACACTGGCGCTGTTTGACCTTCAATCAAAAAATAAGTGGAGACGATACTGGGTATTTACGGGTGAGTAAACAAATGTTTATGTGATCATTTTATGTAAATAATACCATTTTTTATGATAAATATCCCTTTTAAAAATAAGACGTTTTTATTTTTTATTTTTTTCTCTCTCTCAATACTTTTTGTTATATTAATGATTGTGCTATACTGTTTCTAAAATAATTAATAAATATTATAGCCAACTATCATAACAGTGCTGTCTTTTCTATAGCCAAGTGAATTATCACCTCTCTTTATATTCACTTTAAATGGAAAATTCTCTCAATAATTAAACTACATTAAAAATAGATAATGCAGCAGTCTGCATTACCTTTTTTGAGTTCAACTAATTTACAAATTTTTAAATAAATGTCTTGACTGAACATAAAATGTCAAATTCCCATCATTGCAAAACTGACACACTGTCAAACAATGTGACCATATTAAATATTCATGCTACAGTGCATGTTGGGAAGAAGACTGAATCACAAACCAGTTTTTAGCAATATGACTTGCTTAATAAATAAGATATTCAAAGGAGTTTTCATTATTCATGATTCCATTCATAGGCTCATTGGCAGGGTTGCCCGGCATGCAGACGTGGTAATGCCAAGAGCTGAATCCGCTGTAATGGACAACTCGTGTCAGGCCCTGTGCCGCACCTTAGTCACTCAAAATGGCCTTCAGCCAGAGAATGTGGACATTTCACAGTCAGTACTATACACATCCATCATGGGACTCCTGCTGGTGACAGACAACGAGGTGAGACAGTGTTGCACCATTGACACATTCTGTCTGAAACCTCATGCTGTATTAGTGTGTTTGACACAAGGCATATATTGTATATTGGCCTATCCTGTCAACTCTTATATACTGGAAACAACAGGCCTAGCTTATCTGCAAACCATATTAATAATTAATATATATAAAATACATGTGTTTTTGCACCTGTAGGTGTTCACAGTGAGTTAAGTATATCTGGTCTTAACCTCAGTGTCATATGTGACAGTGTCTTCCCTCCCTGTTATAATTGGATCGTAGATCTATAAATGGACACTCAGTCACTGCAGGAGGGACAGTAAATGGCAAACCTGTTGCCGCTTGTGATGTAATTGAGGAAGTCTCACTGACAGTCATTTTTCATCCTACAGAGAGAGCTGCAACTGGGAAATGGACAAGTTGGACTGCGCAACGTTGGAAATACTGTATGTTCTAATTCACAAACAGGCTTTAATGCATATGTTTGCAAGAAAAATAATGGTATTCTCTCCCATCCATTTTCAAATGTTCTCTTTTGTTTTTAGTGTTTCCTCAATGCGATTGTGCAGTGTCTCTCTCACACTCGTAGTCTTCGGAACTACTGTCTGATGAGAACTTACCTTCAGGACAAGCACTCCAAACAAGAACCTGTGCTTATGAATGGTAGGCACACTTCAGCTGTCATTTATTTACTAGGGGTGAAGTGGTGCAGCAAATCAAAATCTGAGTGGTTTGGGATTGGGGCTGCATGGTTATTTAAAAAATAATAATAAAAAGTTTTATTTGAATTATTATTTTATTTGACATTTTATCTATCAATTTAATGATTTTAAAATCAGACATTCCTCTACTCCTCATCTACTTTCTTCACAATATTTTTGTTGATGACTTTATTGTAGAATTCTCTAAAGTTTTGGCTGGCTTGTGGGAATGTAATGGTGGGGAAACCACAGTGAATCCTGGGAAGTTTTATCACGTGTTTAAAGAGTCAGTGCCTTATTTCAGTGGCTATAGGTATGTTCAATATGAATTATTACAGATATCTCTTCAGATTTCTCTGATTAACACAGTATTTAAAATATGTGTTAGGGTATTGGTGTTTAAAGATATCATTCTCAGTTGTTATGTATATAATATTTTGCAGACAAATAATCTATCCATTTCATTTTTCACTCACACACAGTCAGCAAGATGCTCAGGAGTTCTTGCGGTTCCTTCTGGACAGGCTACATACAGAAATTAACCGTCGTCCATCCAAACGTCCTGCAGTTATGGAAATTAAGGAACCAACATACACACGATTCAGGTACTCCACAAAGAGACAGATTGTGAAAGGAGCAATCTGATCTGAAGTCATTTAGATCCTTTAAATCACTCATTGTCTCCAGCAGGATTTCAGAGGAGGCCTTTGCAATGTGGCAGAGGCATCTTGACAGGGATGACAGTAAAATTGTTGGTAAGTAGTAGCACTGTTAAAATAATGATCTGATAATAATAAGTTTTACCAATAAAATGAATGAATAATTTTGCATTAATAAGCATACATAAATCCTGTAGCAGATCTAGACATGTGGAGCTGGTGGAGGTAGAGGGTTTCAAAGAAACTCTAATAGTGCGCTGCAGGACTAGCTTACAACAAACCCTGAACCAGACTATTTAAATGTTGAGCAAGCAGTCTTATTGGCTGCAGAATCAGCAGAGGCCAATCAGCTTGTGTCGTGTAGTAAATGATGTGAATGCTAGTAGATTGCATGTAAAAGACCTATGAGCCTGTGCCATCTAGAGTCTCATGACGGAACTGTTTGTTTGCATAAATTATCCACCTTATTAATGCTTGTTCGTTTTTTTGTTTTTGTTTTTTACAGAAACGTTTGACCATTAAACTTTAAAAACGTTTCTGTATTTTATAGATTTTTTTCTTTTATATGTGAGTGTGTGTATAAATGTCTAAAAACAATAAAATACCAAAGTAAAATAAGGTCAAATATTATTAATAATTGTGATCATCATCACAATGTATATTTTATAGTTAGTCTATTGATTATTTAGTAAATACAATTAAAAAAATTTTTTTTTTTACTTCAGTCCATTTTAAATCCTGGTGCTCAAGTATTTTTTCCCTTCTGTCACAGATTTGTTCTCCGGTCAGCTGCGCAGTTCCTTACACTGTTCAGTCTGCTCCCATTACTCCAACACCTTTGATGTGTTTTGTGACCTGTCACTCCCCATCCCAAAGGTAACACTCTCAGGCCCTGTCCTCCCCTTCTGGTGTTGTGCAGATGATGTGTCATCATTTTTGTTTGTGTGTGTATTGCAGAAGAGTGATTATGGACGAACTGTCACACTGAGAGAGTGTCTAGACCTCTTTTCACAAGAGGAAAAACTTGATAAAGAAAACTCACCGGTGAGTGAAAAGCATTGCTTGCATTTAAATTGAGAACTTCTGCTGAAACCCATGGATGTGTATGTTTCTTAGATGTGTGAGCGGTGTAACCGTCACACTGAGAGCACAAAAAGACTGACCATCCAAAGGTTCCCTAGAATCCTCGTAATGCGTATCCTTTTCAGTTGGTCAAAGCTGAGTTGATCAAATGGTGATTATCGATGGTGTGAAGCAGTACGTGTAAGGTCTTGTGACCAAGTACATGCTTTATAAAAGGTACATAGACTTAACTTGCTATCTCAGACTTAAATCGATTTACCATGTCAAGGTACTCAATCTCAAAGAGCACAGTGCCAGTTTCCTTCCCCCTAAATGGGCTGGATTTAGGGCCATTTGGACCTGTTGACTGCGGTGAGCTCTTAATATCTGAATAAGTATCATACACATTATAAATTTTGACTATTGTTATGTGCAGAGGTGTATGAAATATTACTGAATGTTTGCTTTCAGGTCCAGTGCTGTACGATCTTTATGCAGTATGCAATCATTCTGGCACAGTAAATATGGGACACTACACGGCTGCATGTCTGGAGGAGGAGGGCTGGTGCTACTATAATGACTCATGGTTGGTGCAGCTTTTTGTCTGACCAATTTTATACAATAAAATAATAGTATTTAAAGGCCAGTTTTCTCACACAACGTACAAGAATGATAATTTGTTCCTATTAGAGATAATATAGCATTTATTTTTATTATTTCTTTGTTTGATGACTTTAGAATTGAGAATTTATCATAATAGAGAAAATATTCAATTTAGTTCATACAGCAGAGGAAAATGTTTAAACATGAATGCTCTGTTTCTTTTACAGTGTTGCTGAAATAACAGAGGAGAAGCTTCAGTCCAATCAGGCATATGTTCTCTTCTATGAGCTCAAAAGCTTCAATGTCACCAGAAAATGAGGGCAGAGAATGTACTTTGTTATGAGAGACTTCAGTGATTATTTGGCAAATTTCAGATACCACAGAAAAAAGTTGCACTGTGATGTTGGGGAGAAAGTGAATGAGCTTGAAAACTGGTCATTTTACATAATTGTTAAATTTCATTGTATATTCATGTTACTGAGGTATTTTCGCTACACTAAACAATGTGTTTTATTAACTTTGCATTTTTTTATTCTTAACATAATTAAAACTTGAAATTTGCTGTAATGTGTTTTAATTAAGAGTGGAAAAACAGGGCTGAATTAACAGGGTAATTAATGCAGATGGTGGATTATATAAAACCTTTGTATGACTGTGCAAGCACATGACCATTGTATATTATGTCTGGCTTTACACATATGAGGGTCTTCATCATATAAAATCTCTTATGCTTCTGTTATGGAATGACATGTAAAATAATGTGCCATAAACTAATGCCCAATCCCTCCACTTTAAATCTTTTTGATCAAGTGTTAAATTTGATATTTAGGTTTAACACTAATCCAGTGTATGTAAAAATAACAACAAAAAAACCCAACTTTTTAATGTTTGCTTTAGTTTAGATGTAGAGGGATTTGTAGGTAGTGTCGCCCACATTTAATTCACTTTAATAAATTAATGTTTTATACATATGACTCCAGTTCACTTATTTCAGTTCACCCTGATACTGCATTAAAGAAATATGTGTTATTGCAGACCTGAGATTAGATAGATAGATAGATAGATAGATAGATAGATAGATAGATAGATAGATAGATAGATAGATAGATTGATTGATTGATTGATTGATTGATTGATTGATTGATAGATAGATAGATAGATAGATAGATAGATAGATAGATAGATAGATAGATAGATAGATTGATTGATTGATTGATAGATAGATAGATAGATAGATAGATAGATAGATAGATAGATAGATAGATAGATTGATTGATTGATTGATTGATTGATTGATAGATTGATAGATAGATAGATAGATAGATAGATAGATAGATAGATAGATAGATTGATTGATTGATTGATTGATTGATAGATTGATAGATTGATTGATAGATAGATAGATAGATAGATAGATAGATAGATAGATAGATAGATAGATTGATTGATTGATTGATTGATTGATTGATTGATAGATTGATAGATAGATAGATAGATAGATAGATAGATAGATAGATAGATAGATAGATAGATTGATTGATTGATTGATTGATTGATTGATTGATTGATTGATAGATAGATAGATAGATAGATAGATAGATAGATAGATAGATAGATAGATAGATTGATAGATAGATAGATAGATAGATAGATAGATAGATAGATAGATAGATAGATAGATAGATAGATAGATAGATTAAGATGAAATAAGTCCCTTATGCTCACCAGTGCTGCATTTATTGGATCAAAAATAGCTAAAACTGTAATATTGTGAATTATTATTACAAATTTAAAATAACGTTTTTTATAATGATATATTTTAAAATTTAATTTTAGCATACACCTATTATAATGACACTGAAGAATGCCAAATTCAGATTTTCCATCAGAGTAATAAATTGTCCTTTTTTTCAAATATATTAAAATAAAAAACATTTCCTTTAAATTGAAAAAAAAATCACAATATTACCGTTTTTACTGTTTTTAATCAAATAAATGCAGCCTTGGAACACATCTTAATTTCCCTTCGGTAGTGTATCAGTGCTAATGAATATGAATGATATAAGATGTATAAATTACTTTATTTTAATATAACAAAAAATTTATTGAACGGATCAGTCATTCAGTGTTGTATGTACGCTTTACTTTTTGGTGGCTTATTGATTTATACAGCAAACACCGCTATCTGCTGGGTGGATGTGAAACCTCAAACTTCTCAGCGCAGCCTTCTCCCCCCTCTTTGTCCGGAATGGTTTAACCCGTTGCCTAGGCGCTCGGTCCAAGCTACTGCGAGCAGCTGCAACAAAACACTCGGTAGGCCTCAGGAGACACCACACTCTACTGTTGCATCAATATTTGCAAACATGCAGACATCATTAACTGTTTCAAATCGATTCTGAAGGACAACGACAATCGTAATTTGTTTTATTTTTAACAGGCGTCTGCTGGATATGAAAAGAAGCTCACGCATAATACCTGCGAACTAGCCCGTTAGCCAAAGTTAGCGGACTGGATTGTGTTAAGGTTAGGAAACTTTTTATATTGCAGAAAAAAATCTAGTATAGCCCGAGGAAGCATTATTCTTGTCAAATACACCCGTGACTGCAGATAAATTATGAATATGTGATAGAAACATTTGTTGACGGATGATAATGGATTATGCAGAAGATCAAGTGTATGTCATTTGTTACAGTTGCAGTGTTATTAGTATATAAAGGTTGTTGCTTAAGCTGTATTGCCTTCAATTTAAAGGCATGCAAACTTCTGTAACACGGCGAGTTGTGTTTTATGCTTTTCTTGTTTTGTAATAAAGTGATGATTAGGTCAGAGACTGTCATGGGCGGAGGCAAATGCTGGAAACCACAATCTAAACTTGGTTCCCATAAAAACTCTTGGCTAATTTGCAAGTGATGCACGGACTCCTGTTGAGCTGGAGTCGGCCATGGAAAAAAGAGAGGTATGGTGTCGTCTTTTTTTATATTTATAAATATGACATATGCATTAAAGGTTAGTTCATGAAGATCATGTAATTTGCTTGTGATGGTAATTATTTTGTCGGACAATTTGACAAAAATAGACTTGTTGCTTGTTGTGTTTCATTTCAACAGGTGTAATAATCTGTACTTTATTAATGCATCTAATGAAATAACTTTATGACAGTAATGCTCAATCTTTTGTAACCTCAAGTTCCTACACACACAATATTTCTTCTTGTATCTCTGCTTACATCTTTTTAAGTGGGAGAACTTGCACAATTGGTGGCTGACTAAATACTTTTTTTCCCCACTGTACTTATTAAAAAAATAGATTGTGGTCAGTGAGTAGTTTGGTTGCATTCTACTCATACTGTTTCCACATTGTGCATACTTGTGTACTAAATATAAGTATGCATACAGCATTCTGCAGTGTCCACAGTATGTAAATATTCTGTATGCATAGAACTCATAGATCAGCTACTACATTTGTCAAATGTACAGTATATTATAGAGCATGCTGTGTAGAATACTGTATCCCACAATGCAATGTGTTTGGCTGGACCTGGACCTGGAAGTAATATCAGCCATAATTTTCTTGATATGACAACCAAGACTTAAAGTGTTTTACTTTAGTGTTATTTTAATATTATTTACATACTAATATAGTGTTTTTTATTTTTATATTTTCATTTTAACTTTAGTTTGTTTTAATAATTTTAAGTTCTTTTGTCATTTTTATAATTTTTTTCACATTTATGTTTTCTCATTTAGTTTTTTATATTTCTATTTATTTTATTTATTTTTATTTCAGTTTTAGTTTTTTTTAGTACTTCAAATTCAACCAGGCCTGTTCACACCAAGAACAATAACTATAAAGATAACTATAACAATAACTACAGCATATTGGTGTCTACACCAACAGAAATTAATGTTCTGAATATTTAACATGCTGCTGTAATGTTGTCTGTTGCTTTAAATGCTTAAGCTCTTTAAAATCTGTGGATTCTGATTGGCTGTGAATGTTTTTGTTGTACATCAGCTGGGAAAAAAATGTGTTGTTTGTTTGTGTCATTATCGTTATAGTTGTGGTGTGCACTTCCCTATTCTCTCCAGAATTAGAATGTTATTATAGTTATAGTTATCATCTTTGTCGGGAACAGGCCTTTGAACTTACTTTATTTCAGTTAGTTGCCAAGGCAACATTTCTCATTTTAGTTTAAGTTTTTCAAAGTTTTTCATTGTATTTGTAAAGTTTTTTTTATTTGAGCTTTATTTCAATTAACTTTTTTTCAATTTAATTTTATTTAGAAAATAACAATTTATATGCAGAATTGGATTAAAAATGCAAAATAACTATTTCTGAGGTGATAAAAAAATAGTTTGCGGTATTTAGTGCATACTGCACTGTATACACTAAGTAGTACTCTAGTATTCAGTGCAGAACATAGCTCTTGCATTCTGCACAATGTCCTTATAGTCTAGGAAGTGGTCTTTATTCATGTTTTATGTGTCAGACTCCCAGTGTAAGGAGGTGGTGGAGATGCTGGAGCAGGAGGGTCTAGCAGAGATCAGCCAGAGCAGTGCCAGTGAGCAGGTGGCCTATCTGCTGGTGGAGAGAGTCACTCTGATGGAGAGACTGGAGGCTGCGGAAAGAAAACTGGACACCCAGACCCTCACCGGCAACCTCAGAGAGGTGCATCTTCAGGTACTATGAGAAATACAACCACATTTCAGTAATAGTTTTTATAAAGTTATAGGTCAACAGGTAGACCGTTATAATATCAAAATTTTATTTACACAGAAAATGCTGTGCCTATAGCAACATTCCCCTACTGATAATCTATACCTTGAATGCACTTTGGATTAAAGCATCTGCCAGATGCATAAAATGTACATATTAACATGATAATATTGAATATGAAATATATGTGTTAAAAAATGTGGAGCCTTCTCTTAATAGTAATACCTCAGTTGTGTCTCATTAGTTTTATGGTCTTTTTAATATCTCCTCTCTTATGGAAATCAGGAAGAGCTGGATCATATGCGTCACACATTGGAAGAGGAACTCAGGCAGCAAAAGGAAAATATGAATAAGGTGAGAAGATCTCGGAGTGTCTCATGAACAGGAAGCACCTTCGAAAGCAGCGTACTGAAGTCAAATCCCATTTGTCTATATTTACGTTTTTCATTGTCCATCTCTTAATATGTTCTGCATCATAATTTCACCTGATTCTTTGTCCCTCCCTAAATGGACAGGAATCATCAGTTCAGAGTCCTTGGAGGAAGTTCTTTGGTGTGCGCAAGGCTACACTAAGAGCACAGAACCTTCCTGTACGTTTCGATTGGACTCATAAAAAAAGGCATGACAGAAGTGTAAATCAAGAGAGGTGGAACCTTTCTGTATTATCCTTGAGAGGATGATCCACTTAAAGCAGATTAGGGCAGCTCCGTGGTCACCTCATGAAATAATGCATGCCTTGGTTGAACACAATGCAGATAATAACAATATGCTCTCACATTCTGAGCTTAGCATGATCACATTAACTCCTCTTATTTTCACTCTGGACCCTAACATCACTATGGATCCTTTGATTCAGGGTGGTTACAAACCAGTGTTAGTATAGTTGTCTCTGATGGTTATAAGGGACCAGGTGCATATTAAACTCTGTTCACACTGGAACATGATCCACAATCGGCTTCACCTGTGGCTCATGCATGTTAAAAACGCATGGATGCTGACATGCTCCTTGCTTATCCACCGAGTAAAACCGGGTTTACGTCTCACTGAAAGCTCTGTCCTCTGTAGGACCACAGTGAAGAGTTCAATAGAGAATGCACAGTGTGCCAGAGGCTGGAGAGGGATCTGGAAGAGGCATCGAGTCGTCTTGCTATGGCACATAAAGAGATTCGCCACCTGAAGGATGAACTAGATCTCGCTCGTAAGGTCCAAAACGTGTGTGGTAAGTAAATTCAGCATTCAGCTTAAAAAAGCCCTAACGGTAATTATTAATGATGCTGTGATAGTATCGATAAGCTGATGAGAATTATTTTCATGTTATGGCTGATAACTGATAAATTACTGATATTGAAAATTCTATAATATACTTCTATGAAGTATTGAATGAATGGTATTGTATGTATATATTTTTTGAAGTATCTTATGCTCACAAAGGATGCATTTATTTTATCTAAAATACAGTAAAACAGTAACATTGTGAAGTATTATTACAATATGTAATTACTGTTTTCTATTTGAGTATTTTTTTTTACAATTAAATTTATACCTGTGATGACAAAGCTGAATTTTCAGCAACAATTACTCCAGTCTTCAGTGTCACATGATTCTTCAGAAATCATTCTAATATGATTTGGTGATCAACTTTTATTATTATTATTATTATTATTCATGTTGAAGGCAGTGTTGTTGATAGACACTATATTTTTTAAATTGTAGGATTCTTTGAATAGAAAGTTCAAAAGCTTTTATTTGGAATAGAAATCTTTACACATTACACCTCTTTACTGTCATTTTTGATCAATTTCATCTGTCCTTGCTATATGAAATTACAAATTTCTTTCAAAACTGACCCCAAATGTTTGAACAGTAGTTTAAATAAAAAAACAATAAAAATTAAAATCAGTACTTTGTAATTGCTACATGTGAATTTAGGGATCAAAACATTATAATGTGCTGTAAGAAAAGTGGATATTAATTTTGAGATTTGCTAAAGATTGCATTGAACAGTGTTAATTATTTTTAAAGATTAACTTTTAAATTAGTGTTAGATGACAGTAATGGTAATATAATCTGAATGTGAAAATATAAATGATGAGTATGAACAGTTAATTATTGGATATTAACTGATGCCAATAAATTAAAAAACAACCAATATGTTTCCATTATGTTGTGCATCTCTAGTAATTATTATGTTTTTATATGCAACTAGACTAGCTATTTTCACCTTTTACATGACCAAGCATCACTTATGTCATCTTTAAAAAATGTAAAAATCTAGTTTTTAAATATTTGTTTGCAATTTTGCTTTAGCGCATAATGTAAACTCAAAACAAAATTTAAATTTTAGTACCTGACCTGCAGAAAACTGGGGATGAAGTGGAGCAGTTGGAACAGGAAGTGGACAAGCTTAAACAGTGTGGTGAGATTGTGTTTGATACTGCAGCAAGATATCACGTGTCTCTTTAAAAACTTCTCACATTTGGTCATGGTTTATGACTATATTCAAGTTTATTTATAAAACACTTTAAAAAAAATTACAGTGTAGACAAAGAGCTGTAAATAAAGACAGAACAAACCAGACAAAACATAAAAGACATTTCAAATGATGTGTTCTGGTTGTAATCCACATGTTGGACAGATATGGTGGAGCTGCAGAAGGCCAAGGAACGCAATGAAAGATTGGATAGTGAGATTTGCGTGCTAAGGTATAGAGTTCGCTCCTTGGACACAGAGAGGAGGACTCTTCTTAAACTGGCAAGAATAATTTTTTTTTAACTGCCACTACCTATCAGATAGCAAAGCATTCTTTTATTTCAAAGCAGTTTTATTTGCAAACAGAGAAATTATATAATTTGCCATTTTGGGTGTGCCACAGGTTGAACAATCAAAGCTGCACTCAGATCAAGGGATCAAAGTGACATTAGAGCACAATAAAATAAATTCTACACAGGTACATATACATTACACACTATTAAAATCTTCTCCTAAAGGGTTATATATTTGCATATGCATATATTATATACACAAGTATTTTAATATTTGTATAGTTTCATCTGAGAACACTTTACAGATGTTTTTTTTGTCAGGGTGTCGGGAATAACGTCAATCCTGATCCATCACTGGATGCAGAGGATGAGA